ATAAAATGAATTCGCGACGTATTCGTAGAATACCGTATTTTCGGAATATAAGACGCACCCTTGACAAAGTTTAAGGGAAAAAAAAGCTACTGTCGCATTTGAAAGATTTTGATTGAACAAAAATTCAATTTGATACTTTAAAAATTAGTATATATAGTTCTAAACACAAAAGAGCTCAAAACATCAAAATAAGAAAATACCGTAAAGGTTTACTGTTATTTAGTTTGGTTCAAAACCTACAAAATCTTCATTGCTTTCACTGTAATTTATTTTTTTATTACTTAGGGAGCATTATAAATAGTTATGTTTTTAAAAGAAAAAAAACTACTATTGTTATAAATAACACATTCAATTGAACTAAACTATGCATGCCTATTTAAATATATTTACACATGGCTTGTGTACATCGTATATATACATATATATTATTCATACCTTCGGTGTATAGGACGCAAGCAGATTTTGACATCAAATTTTGGGGTAAAAAAGTGCGTCTTATACACCGAAAAATACGGTAATTATTGGTAATAATCATTTAGATTAACAACTTCTAATATATAGAAAAGCCAGTGTGTTTTGGTAACACTACCTTCCAACAATGGCTATTATGTCATGTTGCTTAGCGATAAAAGTATAACCTAATATTGTTGTTAGTCTATGTACTGAAAGTATAAAATGAAATGTATAAACAATAAAACTGGAAAAAAATATTTGTTGATTTCTTAACTTAGAGTCTCCGTTGATTAAAGAGGTTTGTTTTTTATTAAAAACGTTGGCGATATAACAGAAAATAATTTAATTCAGAAACGATTTAAGTTTAAAATTGAGCCGATGTTTTTTTACTTTCTTGATAAATTTTATGCACTTGGCTCCAGGCTAGGTGATCCCACACTACGTCTTTACTTTAGGCTTATTATACCAACACTCTCTATACTTATAAAGTTTCAAGGCCCCCTTGCACACCCGACACTAAAATCGTCAGCCAGTAATCGAACTATTCTATCTGGATAAATAAATTTTGACTTTTATCACTCCCATATTTCGAGAAATCGTGCGTAACGTGACACACGCTGGCTTTATATATATATATATATAGTTTAAAGGACATAGAATTATGTATGGTAACGTCATTTCGGTGGCGTATATTAGTCAGAAACGTTACCTAAAAACAACATAACTATTATTACAATAACAGTTAGGTTCGGGTGGTAACGAGGAATATTTCTGCTTATGTTTATATGAAAAGTGTATAGCTAGCTATTAGCAACAGATATTTTGAAGTGAAAACGACAAAGTAGTTAGTTTTTCATCACTTTCTTGTGTAAAACTTGCCCAACACATGTGTTTTTCATCACTTTCTTGTGTACAACTTATCCAACACGTGTGGTTTTCTTCACTTTCCTGTGTACAACTTGCCCAACACGTGTTTTTCATCACTTTCTTGTGTAAAAACTTGCCCAACACGTGTTTTTCATCACTTTCTTGTGTAAAACTTGCCCAACACGTGTTTTTCATCACTTTCTTGTGTAAAACTTGCCCAACACGTATTT